CGTCTTCTGGTGGAACGGACCTTCGAATCTCTTCACCCAACACTTCTACTCGAAATGGAAGTAATCCCAACAATTATGCCATGCTTTTTGTCTATCAGTAGTATGTAAATAAAGTAGTAGCAGTCGCGAATAAGTTGCGAAAACCAACTTCCAAACCGGGGAAGTTGATCGGTGTCAGGCTTTTTAGGTAGTCTCCAATTGCTCCAAAGATGGAGACAGACAACAAGGTTGCGCTTCTGGCCTGCACCACACCGAGCCTGTAAAGACCACTGATTTGGGCAAACTTGTGGAGCTTCCGAGCATTTCCACTCGATGCGCCCGTGAACTCCGTCGTTTAGCCACCGTTGGATTGTTTGTCCCGGACCTGGAGCCTTGACTCCGATTTGGCACACCCTCTTGGGGGTGTGCATGTTCGGTAGTTGATCTACACATACCCGATGACATGTCGGTTACGGGTGTCCGGGCATGACCCGTCTCGTTCATGCGGTTGGCTGCCTGCGGGCTCCTCTGTTACTCCGTCCACGGCGTCAGGGACATACACACAACCAAATAGCGATGGGGTATACTTTGCCGATCTGCTCGTGGGCATGTCGTCGCAATCCCGCATGCTTTAATGTACCGAGATTTGTAATGCATCGTTGCATTGTTCCAGGCGCCAGGGACGACGGTTTTTCACTTTTTGTGACCGGACCTCATGTACACCGAATAACTGAAATGGGAGTGGGAATGGAAAGGGAGGGCGAGCGCATTCCAGGAAAGCCGATTAAGGTGGACCGAGTAGACGAGATGTTGAAGAGGAGAGTTTCAAGCAAGTGTAGTTTCAAAGACTTATCACGGTGTAGCGTGCTCTTGCCGGGTTCTAGAGGAAAGGCATCTTTGGAAATCTATTAACTTAAGCTACTCTGAGATTCATTATTTTCTAAAATCATTATCTTTATTGTAATTACGATAGTTATTGTTAAATTCTCAAATCAGTTTATTAATCTTTATGTGCACTGATTAAATGTAGTTAAAAAGCTTCAGTACATCTTAGTTGAGATTGTGCTTTCAGGCTGATGTAGTGAGTAATAGTTAAATTTTTCACAGTGTAATTAGTTGACGAGCCTGTCAACCCATTGCATTTCTTTTAATCTTGCTCCTAAAGTCTCTATCACTCAGGCTACACTTCCCATAGCGACAACTTATGGGGTTTTTGAACGGATATGCCACTAGTGTTGAAGCTTTTATATCAACATATTCGATTGTATTGGCGAAATATAACTTGACCTTATCAACGAAAGATCCCTCTGAAAGGGTGTATTGGGAGAGAAACCGGCTAGCCTTGAAGGTCACGTCTGTCCAGTGACCCACTGGGAAGTGTGACTGCGTTGCGGAGTGGTAACGTCG